TTATTGTAGAGATGAGGTCTCACCAAGTTGCCCAGGCAGGTCTCGAACCCACGGGCTCAGACAATTCACTCTCCTCGGCTTCCCAAAGCGCGGGATTACAGGCTGAACCACCGAGCCCGGCCATTTATTTTCTAAAGAAAATATATTGCTGGGCGTGATGGCTCAAGCCTGTAATCTCAGCATTTTGGGATGCTGAGGTGAGAGGATTGCCTGAGTCCATGGGTTTGAGACCAGCCTGGGCATCTTGGTGAGACCTCATCTCTACAATAGAACAAAAAATTAGCCAGCTGTGGTAGTGTGTGCCTGTAGTTCTGGCTACTCGGAAGGCTGAGGCAGAAGGATTGCCTGAGCCCAGCAGGTGGATGCTGGTGTGGTCGTGAGTGTGCCACTGCATTCCAGCATGGGTGACAGAGTGAGACTCCAACTCAAAAAAATATATATGTATATATATAGCAATAAATGTTAATTAGCACAGTTTGGCTATACTCACTCATATCTTGTATGGAATGTCAGACAAATATAGTGTACTCTTATATTGCAAGGTACAAAAGTTGAAAATATCAAGGGATGTGAAGTTTAAAAATCTTCTAATTCACAAATACCACCACAAAGTAAGTTATCCTATAATAAAGTGAAACTGGATAGATAGCTTCAATAAGTATAAATTCAACACTATATTGATAAGACTATTAATATGAAATCTGTCATTAAAACTTGTGTTAGGCCGGGCTTGGTGGCTCAGCCTGTAATCCCAGCCCTTTGGGAGGCTGAGGTGAATGTATTGCCTGAACCTGCGGGTTCGAGACCTGCCTGGGCAACTTGGCGAGACCGCATCTCTACAACAAATCAAAAATTAGCCGAATGTGGTAGTGCGCCTATAGTTCCAGCTACTTGGAAGGCTGAGGCGGAAGGATAGCTGGAGCCCAGCAGGTCGAGGCTGCGGTGGCTGGAAGCGGCCACTGCACTCCAGTCTGGGTGACAGAGTGAGATTCCAACTCAAAAAAAAAAAAAAACTTATGTTAGTCTTGAGCTTACCTGAATTTGAAAGAAAAGATAGTATGTATATAGTAGGAAATAGTGAACCACTATTGGAAAATAGAAAGCCATATTGAGCTGGGCATGATGGCTCTTGACTGTAATCCCAGCACTTTGGGAGACAGAGGTGAGAGGATTGCCTGAGCCCAGGGGTTTGAGACCAGCCTGGGCAACTTGGTAAGACCTCATCTCTACAATAAATGAAAACAATTGGCTGGGCATGGTGGCACATGCCTGTGGTTGTAGCTACTTGGAAGGCTTGAGGTGGAAGGATCACCTGAGCCCAGCAGTTGAAGGTTTCGGTGGCTCTGAGCTTGCCACTGCACTCCAGCCCTGGCAACAGAGCGAGACTCTTACTAAAAAATAAAAAAAAAAAAGGATGCCATATTGAGTTGTGGATGCTGTACAGTCAGCCCAACTCACTGACTAAATGACTTATTTAGTCACACCAGCCTGAGCACTAGATTAAAGTTTGTGCTTTGGCATCATCACAAATACTGTGTGCCTTTGGTATTGTTGCTACATTAATAATAACACTGCTGAAGATTAATATGCAGATGACAAGGGTCTAATGCAGTTGTTTTCAAGTGCTCAAAGGATCAGTGGTAGGTAGGAAAATATATTCCCAGAAAATAGGACTGTGGTCCCCATCCTCTGAGATTTGTTTTCTCATGGGTTTAGGGTAGAATTGAAGAATCAACAATTTTTATATTTTGTTTTTATTTTTATTTAATTAAATTTACTTTTTTTTTAAACTTAAAAAAATTTTTATTTTAGAATTGTGGGGTACATTTCAGAGTTAGGTATACAAATATTCACTGTGCAGGTACCTTCTTCCTGCACAGTGTGCAGGAAGAGGTGTGCCCCCCCCTTCCCCAGGCAGATTTCCACTACTGTCAATCCACCTTTCCGCCCCCCTCCCCTCCGCAGTTTCCCACTACTGTCGGTCCTTTTCTTATATTATTGCGGTAGTTGTTCAAGATCTACGTATGAGTGAGAACATGTGATACTTAGTTCTTTGTTTCTGTGAAAGATCACTCAGTAAGCCGGGCTTGGTGGCTCAGCCTGTAATCCCGTGCCTTTGGGAGGCTGAGGTGAGTGGATTGCCTGAGCTCACAGGTTCGAGACCAGCCTGGGCAACTTGGTGAGACCTCATCTCTACAATAAATAAATAAGTAAATCAGCTGGGCGTGGTAGCGCGCGACTGTAATTCCGGCTACTCGGAAGGCTGAGGCAGAAGGATCGCTGGAGCCCAGCAGGTTGAGGCTGCGGTGTCCGGGAGCGGCTACTGCACTCCAGTCTGGGCGACAGAGTGAGACTCCAACTCAAAAAAAAAAACAAAAACAAAAGATCACTCAGTATTATAGACTCTAAGTCCATCCAGGTTGCTGCAAAGTTCATGATTTTGTTGTTTATGACTGCATAATATTCCATTGTGTATATATACCACATTTTTTTTATCCAGTCCTCTTTTGATGGGCAGCACAGTTGGTTCCATGTTCTTGCTATTGTGAACAATGCTGCGATAAACATACGTGTGCAGGTATCTTTTTTACTGAGTGATTTGAGTTCTTCTGGGTATATTCCCAGTAGGGGGATTGCAGGGTCATATGGAAGATCGATTTTTAGAACTTTTAGGAATTGCCACACTGTTTTCGACAGAGGCTGTACTAGTTTGCACCCCCCACCAACGGTGTAGAAGTGTTCCCTTTTCGCCACATCCTCTCCAGCATCTGTTATTTTTTGAGTTATTGATGATGGCCATTCCGTCTGGAGTTGGGTGGTGTTTTTGTTTTTAGAAACAGTGTCTCAGGTACCCATGCTGGAGTGTAGTAGGGCGATACCTCACTGCAACCTTAAATTCCTCTGTGATTTTGGTGTATTACCTTTTTTTATGAATTCTGGTTAATTGTTAGTTGGCTTACATAATTAACTGTTTGACAGGTAATATTTTCATATCTCGAACCTCAATTCCAAATGCTGCCTCTGAAGAAGGAGATGAAGATGACTGGGCATCCAACAAAGTTATGTTTAAAATAGGTAAGAAAGAAAGATAACTAGATTATTAGTTTAAAATAAACAGAGAAGAGTGTTTTGCTTTTACTCTAGGCTGTATTGTTTTTCAATATTTCTAGGTGATCTTGGACATGTAACAAGGATCTCTAGTCCACAAGTTGAAGAGGGTGATAGTCGTTTTCTTGCAAATGAAGTTTTACAGGAGGTAATTTTTCTCCTTTAATAATACTATTCGCTTTATAACACATATTAGTTGATAGAAGAATATAAATTCAGATATGTTTTTAAGTTAACAAGTAGAATAAAAATAAAAATAGTCTAAGCTATCAACTAGGGGTATTTAATATAGCAAAAGTCATGAAAACAGCAAAGATTTATAATGGAGATGTGGTAAAAAGATGTTCCTGTGTACTACTGGTGGAACTTTAAAATGGCATCGCATTTTGGAAATCAAAGTATTAGTATCTGTCATCATTTAAAAATCACGTACTTGGCCAGGCAGTGGCTCACACCTATAATCCTAGCACTTTGGGAGGCCAAGGTGAGAGGATTGCATGTGACCAGGAGATTATAATTAATAAGCAGCCTGGGCAGTATAGCACGACCATGTCTCTACAAAATAAAAAGAAAAGAAAAATAAAATCATGTACCTGTTAACTGAGAATTTTCACTTTTAGGCATTTCTCCGATAGCAATATTCATATGCTAACATAAGTTGATAATGATATAAATAAGTATTTACTAGTAAGAGAATGATTAAGTGAATTATGACATATAGTTGTAAGAATGTGGCAAAATATTTCTTGATAAGAATTTTGAATGAAAATAGAATAAGCAGAACAATATAAAATGTAATTGTATGATCTCATTGCTCTTTTCATATGTTTGTCTGCTTCATCACATATATGTGTACTTGTGACTTGTCAGTGTGTTTGTGCATTTGTGTTTTGTGTTTGTGTATGAATCCTTAGAGGGATAGGAGTTTCTTCTGAGAGTTGAATTGAACCACTGATATAAAGAAGAGGCATTTATTAATACTTTCAGATGTGTATTTGAATTTTTCCCTGAGAGTATGTTATTTTGTAATTTAAAAAATAAAGAAATCTTCCCAAATTTAGCAGCTTCTTCTCTGAATAAGTCCTACACATAAATGTGGCATTAACATTTTGATCTAGTCTTATTCCTCACCTAAGTCATTTTTGAGATATTTTGACCATTTTTACATTCTCTTAAAAAAAAAAACTTTTTTTTAATTTTACAGAATTACACCCATCTACCAAAAGCGGATATTTTTGCCCTCGCTCTCACAGTGATATGTGCTGCTGGTGCTGAACCTCTTCCCAGAAATGGAGACCAATGGCATGAAATCAGACAGGGTAGATTACCTCGAATACCACAAGTGCTTTCTCAAGAATTTACAGAGTTGCTAAAAGTGAGCGTTTTATATATGAGGCACTTTATTGACACGGTTCAATATTTTATTAAGTGTATTTCTTTACCTGGATTTTACTTCTCTTTTTAAGATTATGATTCATCCAGATCCAGAGAGAAGACCCTCAGCAATGGCACTTGTAAAGCATTCAGTGTTGCTTTCTGCTTCTAGAAAAAGTGCAGAACAATTACGAATAGAATTGAATGCCGAAAAGTTCAAAAATTCACTTTTACAGAAGTAAGTGAGGGTTTTTTGTTAATTTTAGTTTCTCATTCTTTTTAATTCTCAAATTATAATGAGAGATGATTTAGGGTTTCTGTCAACAAAAGATACAGTAGTTTGATATGTTATACAGTAAAAGCTTAGGGACTTCTGCATTAAATTAATGTTTTACCTATTAAATTTGTGTTGTTTCTAAACTTTGAAATTATAACTTTAAAAATGTTAACACTAGCATATGTTTGCATGTGGTGATAGTCCTCAAGCCCTAAATCGCAGTAAAAGCTAAGCAAGTCCATACCCGTTTTTACTTCCCAGACTGTCACCAAAGATTAACGTTTTCCTTACAACATTTACTTTAAGAAAGGATGAAAATAATGTCAGTTAGGTTAGTAGATGATTCTCACATTTGACTTGAATGATTTGACATTTTCGGAAAGCTAGTTGCAGTGATAAAGATTATTAAAAGGAGAAGAAATATTGGTGAATATTAAGTAACCACAGATCACATTTCTAATTCCTTTGATTTATTGCTACCGTTTTTATTGTAATCTAATACAGCTGCCTTGATAGGTTTTATATTAAGATTTAATGTTTAAATTATGAAGATTTGCCGTTAAATATGCAAAGTTTATTTACCACTAGTTTGTTAGTCATCATAGTTCATACAAATAGGAAGAAAAGCTTTCCTTTCATCTTTATTTTGTAAAGATAGATTAACAATATAAATTGGAGTTTTATTGGAAATTATTTTATTTTTATTTTTTTCAGAGACCAGGTCTCACTCTGTCACCCAGGCTGGAGTGCAGTGGTGCAGTCATAGTGCACTGCAGGCTCAAGTAATACCTCGGCCTCAGCCTCCTGAGCAGCTGGAACTACAGGCACTTGCCACCACCTGGCTAATTTTTTTTTTTTGAATTGGAGTCACTCTGTCGCCCAGACTGGAGTGCAGTGGCTGCTCCCTGGCCAC